TCCATATCCTTTGTCGTTCTCGTCCTGTCCTCGTCCTGTAAGATGCCAGCTGCACACATTTTTCACCGTCGCTTTCGAGTCCTTTTTCGTCCTTGCTGGACATCCTGGACAAATCAGTTTATGTTACATTTTTTCTTTCGGCTGTTTGTCTCGTCTCGTGTTTTTGTTTTGTTGTCATCTGGACGAGGTCCTTCGTCCTCCACCAAAAGTTTATTTATTTTATCTATATTTCTATTCGAAGGCGTCTAAAGTTACACAAATAAAATAAATTTTCTTTCGACTCATAAACAATAAGAATGACAGGCAACTGTCGCCGGTGTGGGGGGGGGTAAGTCCCGAAAGAAGGAAAGGGCAAGAGTCCTTGCAGGGAAAAGCTTGGCTTAGGGTTCCTGTCAGCTGCTGTCAAATGATGTTTCTTGGCCCAAAAGAGATCTTCTTGCCCAGGAAAGTTTTCAACAATTTGAAGCATTTTGAAACACGACATGCAGCTACTGTTTCGTTCGAATTATTGTTTCTGTTTGGCGGAGAAGAGCTTGCAACTGAATTCCTTAAATATTCCATTTAAGGAAGAGGTGTCCTGCAAACCAGTAATGGCTTTGGTTCTTCCGAGAAAAGTTAACAGCCCTTTTTTTAACAGTCTTTTAACAGTCTCAGGTTTGTGTCTCAACTATCTGATACCCGGTACTATTTTCTAATATTTCTCAGTGGCTATTCCTTAGTTCCATCCATAACAAGAGGTCCTTTGTTAGAGCGTCCTTTCATGGTCCTTTCCGATGACTATCCCCTTGCCAATTACCGACTTGCATTGTTATCCTTAGGTCCACCAGCCTTAGTTCATTAAACCTTGACCAGGACTGGCCAGGACAGGACTGGCCTTCAGCTCTGCCTCGTCGGACGTCGTGCATCTGTCTCTATCGGGTTGAGTGATGCATGCCTCACGGTTTCGGGTGCCTTCAGCACGCGCTGGAAATTGACAGTTATGATGCGGTTGCCTTGCCTTCGCCTTCCTTCATTCTCGCATCATTTACCATGGCCAGTACATCCTCCTCCTCCTCCTCCTTTCATCTCATCTGTGAAAATGCATTTTCCGCTTTAGCTTTTCTTCTTGTTCTGCTTGGGCCGCCATTTTTGCGGACTCTTGGACTGCCATTTTGCGTTTGCTGGTCACGTTGTTGCACTTAATTGTCGAAAGTTGTCAGCGCCGTTTGCCAAATCACCACGCCCCCACCCCATTCCCCTAGTTGCGCCCACTTTTGCTGCCATCTCCTGCTAATTGCCAGCAGTGCGTACATTGCGTGAGCATTTCCCCACAGCTCCAGAGCACTCCTCCCTCTTCTGCGAAATCAAATGGCGGAAATTGACGCCCAGGCTGGTGGAGAGCCTCAAACTTGGCCATAAATTTCATTGCCTCGACTACTCCCCTTCAATTTTGTTATATATATTTTTTTACATTTTTCGTTCGTGTTATTTTCAAGTTTTTGGGCAAATAAATTATGTTCTTGTTGTGTTTTATCAGGCGGAACACAAGACAATTGCCTGCTGCTGCTGATACACAGAAATAAATGCAAGAGGAACATATTTTCTTAAGAAAATAAAAGATCTTTAAAAGAAACTTTGTCTAATAAGGCTTGAAAACTAGTAATATTTCCATAAAATCTTATACAAATTTTTTAATAATATTCTAGCTATTTTTTTCAAGTGTTTCTTCATCGCTTTACCTAAAAAAATGAGTTGAAAGAAAAAAAAAAGTTTCCACTGCCTGAGCTTTACATTTTTTTTTTCAAATGGAATACAATTTTGTTGCTGCTGCCTGCCTGCCTGCTAGCCTGCCTCTGTTGCTGCTGCATTCAATGTGTGGCATCAACGCTGGCTGCCTCGTCGCTACACATGTCAAACTTTCTTTCATATCATTGAATCAGGCAAAGTTACAAAAAACTTTTCCTCGCCTACGAGTATGCAACAACATTCAAAACGAAAAACTTGGGGCATCGCGCGTGCCTTAGCTTCCCATGCTTTCATGGTGGTGGTGTGAGTTCGATTCACACACGCTGTGTGGTGCTCTCAGATACAAATCTCTGAATTTGAAACAAAATTTGCAAAAAAAAAAAATAGAGTAGAAAAGATATATAATATAAAGCTGGAAAGAGTTGGATGAAAAAATAAGAAAGAAAAGCAAGAAAATCAAGGGACAGGAATCTGAAAAACTGATAAAGGTAATCGTATTGTTTTTATTGCTTTTCCCCATAAACTCTTCGGCCAACTCTATTCCGGGCCAGCAACCAAATTGATATTTCAATTTATCGTGCCTCTGCTCCAGTCATGTGGCATAGAGAGGCTGTTGCTCAAGACCCCTTAGAATTTCTCATTGAAATTGAACAAATTCCAGATTGCACAAGTGACTCTCAGGGATAATATTTGCATTATTTTTGGGGAGACATTGCATTATTTTTAGGGTTGTAGTTATAGTTTTTAGAGGTTCTAGTTCTCTTCTACAGGCATGGGTGCTAAGGTGGATGCTTATTCTTATGTCAGTGATGAGAAGATACTGTCTGAATCAGGGAATTACAATATTTTCATTTTTTTTTTAGGGAATGTCAAGGTTATAGTTCAAGTTTCAGTCTCGTTCGAAGTCCTAGTGGTCCTAGTCTCTAGTCTCTGGACTCTATTAATATCAAGCTAGTTTCTAGTTCTAGTTTCTTTTCAGTTTCTAGTTTCAATCTTCAAGTTATAGTTCTAGTTTCATTTTGGTTCTAGGTTCTAATGCTTCTAGTTTCATATCAGTTTCATTATCTGTCTGGTATAATCAAGGTTATAGTTCTTGCTTCTCTCAGAGATTCCAAATCTAGTTCCAAATCCCCTAGTCATATGAAAGTGAGTGCGTTTCTTAGGTTTATGATAGAAATTCAATAAATTCAAGATGGTCTTCTGCTACAGAAGTGACTCTTGGGTTAAAATATTTTCATTCGTTTCAATGATTCTCAAGGTAATAGTTATAGAGTTTATAGATATTAGATTTATAGATAGATATATATAGATATAGTATAGATGTTATAGATATAGATTTATAGATGTAGAGGTTATAGATATTCTAATGGTTATTGATTATTTATGGTTTAAAGTTTATATTCTTAATTTTTTTGAGATTCTAAAGGTTCTAGTTCTAGTTTCATTATTTTTTTGGCGGTATCATGGTTTTAGTTCCAGTTCCAGTGCTATTCTAGTTTTAGGTAGTAGTTCTAGTTTTATTGGGGCATTCTATAGGTTTCAGGGGGGTCTAGTTCTCTAGTGGGGTCTAATTTTAAAATATTTTCCTGCTTCAGGAGGGACTTTCGGGTTGAAATATTTGCATTCTTTTTGGGAATTCTTCTAGTACTAGTTTCTAAAGGTTCTTGTTTCTTTGTTTTTTTTCTTTGAGATTCTAAAGATTCTAGTTAACGTTTCATTCTGATTCTAGAATCTAGATTCTAGTGCTTCTACTATCAAGGTTCATGGTTCTCAAGGTTCTTTTCCTAGTTTCAGGGGTTCTATGGGCTCTAGTTTCTATTAGTTCCTATTCTATTTCCAGTTTTATTATAAAAACTGTAATTATAAAATAAGTCTGCACTTACCCCTTCGCTAGTTGATTGTTGTTTTAATTGAATTTCGTTGATAATAGTGATGTTATTATTGAGAATTGATGATGTAGAGTTGTTGAAGTTATTAAAGCTGACATTATCCTTGGAATCTCCTTTTTTCCATTCTTTAGTTAAAGCCTAAACTGTGGAAACAAAGTCTTAATTATTCCTTTCATAAAAACATAGATTCTATAACAATATACTCTACAAGAAACTCAACCTTAACCATAAATAATGTGGGCCCCCAAGATCTTGGAACTTTTTTAAATCGAGGGGCAAGTCGATAGGGATTCGGGGGTAAGTGCCCCCCAGTTGCAGCTCCATTCGCTGCAATTCATCCGGAGCACAAAAGTGCAAGTGGCACACAATGCAGCCGCGAATATATATTTGCATGTCGATCGCAGGCAGTCGCAAAGAGTTGCAATTTATGCTTCTGGCGGGCGCTGCTTTTTTTTTTTTTATTTTTTTGGCAATCCACCAGGTGCCTGCCTGTTTTTAACCAGGTAGGGTATAGCCCCGGCAATGACGTTCGGCGGCAATAAAACTGTCAATAGTGTCAAAGTGGCTACCACACATCGAATGCCCTTTTCCCGCCGTCGTCGGTCCGTTCATCCTTCCAAGTAAGAGCTGCTAAAGAAAATGCAACGATTTATTGTTGGTTCGACTGCCGGAGGGACGACGATTGGCTTGCCAGGACCTGGGCCCAGGACACACAAAGAAATCCAGCAGAAAGATTCATGGATATGCGATTTTAACAGCCAGTCGCCTCGGCTTGCCTCTTTGGGCCAAAATACAGTCAACTTGGCTGTGTTTTGGGTCGACGCTTTTGTGGCGCCACATCTCCAGTACCCTCAGGGGGGAGGGCGGAAAATAAGGAACATCCTGCATTCTATAATGCTTTCCAGTTTGGTAATATTTGGTAGATTTTGGAAATTAAATCCCAACAATAATAAGCAGACTATAGGTGGTTTCAATGGCCCTTAAGAACTATCGCAAGTTTAGCACGAGCTTGACACGATCCACTATCGATAACAATTAAGGCATGAAACTAACCAACTCTATATAAGAATACGATTTTCCAGCTAAAATCTAACCATTTTCTAGGTTTTAGAAATTTTCTTTAATAATTTTAACAACTTTTTAAGCAAAAAAACCAAAAAACTAATATTATAACCGCCATTTTGTGGACTTCTGGCCATATCAGCTGTTTCCCAGCTATCGATAACAGGCAAAGCTTGTTTGCCCCACTGTGGCAACGTCGAGACTGTACCGTGTTAATCATTTGAAACGTCACAAGTCACCGACTATTTAAGAAGAACAACGAACAAATTGAGCTTAATTATTTGTTTTTTTTTTTCTTATAGATTAAGATTATAGACACCACAAATGGAACCAATCGACAAAAACATCAAGAAAATTGCCTTAAACTCAGCCGAACTCATATCAGATCGAAAGAAGTATTTCAAGCAGAAGATGCAAGATATACCCACGATCCGCGTCCTGTTGCTGGGCGACAAGGGCGTGGGCAAGACCAGCCTGACCAATTTGGTGGCCAAAAGCCGGGACACACCGACAACCAAATCCCGCACCGTCGGCGACACCACATGGACCATGCAAGTGCGCCTGCACGAGTATCCGGCCCCCTTGGTACCCCTGCCGCCGTTTCCAATATTGAACGAATTTTTGCGCATGGGCGTCCCGCCGCCACCCCCTACGACCCTGTACTTTGTGGAGTTCTACGATCCGACTACCGAGCTGCGCATGCGCCGCGAAGATCGCATTAGCTTCTTCAAGAAGGTCGATGGCATCATTTTGGTGCACAGCCTGATGGACGTCAGTTCCCAGGACAGCTTGCACGACTGGCTGTACGAGCCACTGCGTCAGATCGGAAAGCATCGTCACGGCCGTTCGCGGCCCTTCCTGCCAGGCGAGCATGTGCCGATAATGGTGGTGGGCACCAAGGTCGATCTGGTCGACTACACACCCACCTATCATCCGGGCAGCATCGCCTACCAGCTGAACGCCACGGAGATACTTGTCAACTGCCGTGACCTGCAAAGCTTTGGGGAGAAGACCTGCAACCAGCTCAAGCTCCACCGCTTCCTCAACCGCGTCGTCGAGTTCCAGCTGCGCTTCCCCCTCTTGGAACCCTAAGGAGCAGGCATATCATGTACTTGACTTTTGAATTTAGTCTTAATTTTTTTTTTTTCATGTAATCTAAGCCCTGCACTCGAATTCATGTGCCTTGGCTGTAACTGACCCTTAATGTACTTCATTTATAATAAAATGTATACACATTTAAGGTTCGCACGCCTGTCACCTACACTTAAGTTCAGTTTATAATAAAAAATTAAAGATAATTACTTAAGTTGAATATTTTACATATTTATGGAAGTACTAGATGGATAGATATGGAAATTCTTAACAATTGGCAAGGATTAGAACCCAGAACCAAGTCCATATCCTATCTCTATAAGATTATAGAATAGCAAAGTTTAGGTCTATTTTTTTGTCGATTTTCCTTAAAAGCCTCTCGAAAACTTATAGAAACCTATATGTGAGTCGGAACAGAGTCTATATCTTTGGCAATTTATGTGCGATCTTGTAGGGGAATACTTTAAAATAATCGTGAATAGATTCTTTTCAAATCTGCATTAAAATTGGAATACAACATTTTGGATCCATTTTTTGTTAATTTTTTTTAGAGGACCCCTCGAAAAAACATACTACCATTATGACTCAAAATAGAGTCCATATATTTGGCAATAATGGTTCGATCTTCAAGCGGTATAGCCCAAAAATATTATAACTATACCCAAGTATTGACGAAGATATGGAGCTTATTCAAGATTTAAAAGATTTCAGATCCTAAAAGGGAATGTATCTAATGAATTGTGGAAATCGTTGCTATACTTTCATCCTATTTTTTATCAATTTGCTTCAAACCATTAATAAAAAATTTTCAATTGAATTTGAAATAATTTCTCCCGAAAATATCTCTTGTAAACAGCACCCTCAAGCGCTTCCTGCAATGATATAGAGCCACTGCCCATTATGCATACATTTGTGGTATGGAATTCCTCTTCACTTTGGACCTAACCTTGCGCAACAGAATGCACTCAGTTAGGCTGAAAATTACACAAGTTACCTTCCCCTCATTACGGATGGGGTGGGAGACTATAGTGGTTATGGGAATTCGGGAATATGGAAGTCGGGTAAGCGGCTTAGCAGCTTGGCGGGATAACTATACCCTCGAAATGACGATAAGGGCACTCTGGACTTATCATTCCGCCTCCGGCCAACTCCCGACTCCCGGTCGACTGACCATAAAATAACCACATTCCGGGTTCCGGGCATTCCATGAGGGCCGCCGCCACCAGCCCACGCCTGGCGGAATTTCCTCCCCGGGCCAATAATAAATGCGGATACAATTTTAAGAGGATTTTAGAATGTACAACTGGAGATGAAAGATGGAGCGATGATGGCTTCTTTAAATATTGATTTGAAAATGCATTCCATAGCAAAATCTATTGTTCTTCTGCCTTCTTTGAACTCTGACCCCCTAAGATTGCTGGACAGGATTGGCAATTTTATTTTTGGGTCAGTGTTACTTGCAGGCCACCATCAGTGTTAAGCGGAGTACAGCCAGGACCGGCTAGTTGTAGTAGTTCTCATTGGATCTCATCGCCTTTTTATCCTGTAGCTTCGTGTATCCTGTTGCCAAATAAATTTCCCCAGCAGATAAATCACATTTTGGGCAGCAAAGCCAAAGGACAAGCTGGGAAAACAATTGTCCAACGGGAGGGGCCTAGACAAGGAGGGCCTAGGAATTGAAATTTCTATGGAAACCCTCGTGCACTCGAAAAAAAAAATGCATTTCTTGGATGAAATTTTTAATAATTTCTCATTTAAATATACTTCTAGTTGGAGATTTCTCATCGAGAACCCTAGTTTTTGGAAGCACCCTACTACTAACTATCCTAAAACCACTGCCCAGTGCCACCTCATCCCCGCCACACATTTAGTCGAGCGGTCATCTCATGGAGCTGAGATTGAAAATTGTGTACAAATTTTTGGGTTTCTGTTTGAGCTCTTTGGGCCACGATTTGGGGTCTGGTCTGGGCCTGGGTCGACTATTTGCCCAAAAAATATTGATTGTTGCATGTAAATTGACTTTAATATGGCCTGGGTCGCACAGGACCATGGGAGCATGGCCTGGTAGTGCAAATACAAACAGGAACACAAGCCCAGAGACAAGTACACCCACCCCCGTACGACTAGATGGAAGATTTTATCTCCCACCCGGGCTGGGGATGAGAAAACATTCCATTGGATTGGGATTGGGATTGGGAACGTAGCAACCTTTTGACTGCTCACAGGCTCACAGTTCATAAGAATTTTAGGCCACACCCTGGAAACTGGCACCTTGTCGCTGGCTCTTCTGGATGCCAGATCTCTCTAGATGGATAGCCTCTTCTGAGGAAGAACCACAATATTAATACTGAATATCCTTTTAATTGGATGCAGTTTGCGGTTAAAATTCCACTGTACGAGTGCTCCCAATAGGCCCTCATGCGAGTTATTGATGAAAAAATATCGAAAATTGAATTAAATGAAGTCGAAACCGCTTCACAAACCTGTTCATTAATAATTGTGATGAATAATTAAAAGACTACTATTTGTATTTTTCAATAATCGCTCAAGATAGCTTCATGGTCCTTCGTCCTTGGTCCTTGGGGCTTTTCCCGTCTCGACTTATCAAGGGCATCCGACTGTCGTCGCACATGTGCCGGCATTACAGTTTCCCATTGCCATTGCTGTTTGCATTGATTTAACTTTTTGCTGATTTTTGCGTGGCTGGCGTTGGTCCTTCCTTCCTTCCTACCAAGTCCTTCCAATTGCCAAGTCCTTGCTCCCTTATCCCTACTCTAGTCCCTAGATCCCCTGCCCTTGTTCTGCCTGCCTCTCGGCCTCCGACGTGGCGTTGTTATTGCTATAATTCGATTAGATTTTGTTTCAGATTACAGATTCAATTTAAATTTCAATCATGAATTGTAGCATTTCGCAATACCATGACCAGAGGGGACTCCTCGTCCTGTTTCTGGTCCTGGTCTGGGCTAGGGAAGGGCATCCTGGAGGGCATGGGCTGCGTGTTTGCGGTTTGATTTAGATTTCATGCTGGTTAACACATCGTTTGCAGGACCCTCCCTCCATAGCTATAAGCTCTCAACTCGACTCGCCTCGACTCTCGGAATTTATAAGGAAAGTGAAAGGGATTTTTTGGCAGGACGATGCCAGGGGACGATTGCACTACGACTACTGTGTCTACTGGCGAATCCAATCATCCAGCAATTGCAATATAAACGCGTTGACATCGAGCCCGGGAGCCACCTGACAGACAGACAAGTCACCGAAAGCGAAATAGCAACAGAAATAGAAACTGAAACGGAAACTGAAACAAAAAAAAAAAGAACGGACAGGACTGGCAAGAGTCCAGGAGGTCCTAAGGACCAAGACAAAAGCCATAGCCCCCTCCCCATCCCCCACCACCAGTCTGTCCGGTCTAGTCTCTGCCATAAAAGTTAAATTTTGTGGAAAAATGCATTCATGTGCATTGAGGAGTGAATCCGATGGAGCCTGCAACTCAGGCACATTGTGTGCTTACATGTGTCGAAGTCGCATCCGCCGAAGCTCATCCACACATCCGGCTCTGGCCTCCACCTCCACCACTTCGACTTGTGTCCTGGCCAGGGTCCTCTGTCTTGTTCTGCCTTTGGAAATGGCGTTTCATTGAGGCGCTGGGAAATATATTAGAGACTCTGTTGATGCACCGAGAGATCTCTGCATGTCCTTTAGAGCATTTCTTTCCAATAGTCTTCTATTCCTTTTTTCCAGTGTACTTTATTTAACGTCCTTTGCTGTCGTTGACGCTTCCGCGGATGTATTCCAAAACATATTGAATGCCATACATCACCCAACCACCACAACCCTTTCGAGGGCAGCTACAAATGACGATCCATATGCCAGAAATTGTGGTGGCCAGGACCTCCATTACTCCGCCAGTATATCCATCAGCTCTCTCTCTCTATCCAAAATACTCTCTAATTTCCATCGTTTTATTCTCGATTTGGCAAACTATTCTCCCCCAAAGGCTGTGGGACTAGAGTCCTGGTGCCTGCGGACTCTGCCAATCAATGAATTGTATAAATATTTTCACAGCAAATGGAACGTAATGAAAAGCATGCTTAAGTTACTTAAAAGCTAAACCAAACAAGGCGAAGAAATCATCCAGCCATCCAGGCATTCAGGCAGCCTCGCAGCTGGCAAGGCTCAAGTGCAAGGGTGGCGCAGCCACGACAAGGACCACAAGGACAGTCAGGACAGTCATCGGCTGGCCACTGGTCAAGTATGTTTTGGATCCAAGTGGTTGCCGACTGGCTGGCTGGACACTAACCGATAAGCTATCGAACGAAAGCCAGGTCCAGAGCCGGTCCAGGGCCGGTCCAGGAGCAATTAATCACCGGCAGGACCCTGCCATACCGCCATCATGTCAAAATGCCAATTAATTAAATGTTGCCCCCGAGGAGTGGCTGTGGTGGTGGTGGTGGTGGTGTCCACTTGAGCGAGTGTCTACTGTGGCCGAAAGGATTTCCAAACAAGACCCACTTCGCTTTCGCCTTCGGGTGGCGAATAATGAAGACAAAAGCCGCCATATTCATTTCACTCGAAATTGAAGCAAACACTTGAAGGCAAACCATAACATGCATCTGTCCTGGGTCTCAGATGTATCCTCGATCGTGGATAGGAAAACCCATGAAGCCATGAAGCCAAGCCAAAGTCATTTGCCAGCCATGTTTCAGACAAAAGACAAATTTCAAAGAAAAAAGCTAAGGACTTGGCCCATTGGATGGTGGCTGGTGCGGATGTGGAGGATGCGGGAGGAGTCAAGCATGCAGCAACAATATGTTTCCTTTCCGTCTGCAGTTACCATTTCCGCCTTCAACCAACTTCCCAGCAATGATAAATGGCCTCCCAATATTTTAAACCATATTTTAAATTCCGAAATATAATATATTTAGACATCCCATCCCTAGCTAGCTAGCTATGAGTTAGTAGATGCTTTTAAAACTAAAACAAGAAATCTATAACTGCTT